TAACCTAACACAACTGCCCTAAGTTAAGAATATTAATATAGAAATTAATATAGAATTCCTTTTTATTTCGATACATGTACCCACTTCCTTCTCAGCCCGACGTTGAACTCTCAACCCTCGGAATTTGTCTCCTAACAGTACAGGAACAGCGCGCTAGACCGTTCGGCTATCTAGGCATTTAAATAAATGGCTTTCGAGTCGATGGAATTCTCGAGGCGCTACCCTACACTTCACGGTCATTGAGAATAGAAGTGAAATACAGTTATTTAGTCACAAGTTTTAACAGAGGATTATCACCAATACACGTTGTAATGAAATTAATTATTACTGTAAACCTACTTTTATTCGCGACAACTTTATTAGCGTTTTATTAAGGATAAACTAATTAAAGACGATTACTTTTCGCGATCAAGCCTTTTTGGATCTGTTCTTAATCGATACTTACAATTTAAGGACCGGTTAGCGGCGAGAAATATTCGCGATGACGAGGCTCTCGCGAACTTTGCAAAAATTTCTCGCACGCGAATAAAAGTTGGTTTACAGTATTTATAAAGAACATATAACAATATCAATGCCCGTGTAGTGTAAGACAGCGCCGCGTAAATTCTATTGTTTTTTTCCTTTCCTGTACTAGTAGGAGACAGATTCCGAAGGTCGAGAGTTTAACCCCGGGCTGGGGCTGAATTAAGTGGGTATCTAACTGAAAAAAGAATTTCTTTGTGCTTTCTATATAGATATTTCTTCACTTAGGGCAGTTATGTTAGTTTAAGAGTTGTTGTAAAATGTGCTTTATAAATAATAATTAATTCCATTACAACGTGTATTGGTTACAAGCCTCTGTTAAAACCAATGTTCAAATAACTATATTTCACTTCTATTCTCAATGACCATGTAGTGTAGGGCAGCGCCGCAGAATTCCATCGGCATCGAAAGCAAGTTTTTTGACTTGCCTAGATAGCCCAGTGGTCTAGCGCGCTGTTCCTGTAATGCTAAGTTTTAACAGAAGATTGTTACCAATACATGTTGTTGTGAAATTAATTATTATTTAAATCTGTTTCTTAAGTGATTCAAGACCATGAAATAATCTTTTAACCTGCTTGTGACGCGAAGCTTTTACCCCCAGATGAGGATCTGGAGATCACTTCCGGTCAGGTTTATTTTTTTTTCAAAGCTTTAAAATTGTTGTAAGTTGTTGATGAAAATAACGCGCAACCCACAGAAAAATGTGTTTAAATGGCTTTTCATACTTATTGTCAATTTTTAAAGGTAATATCGAGGAGAAATAAACACTTAATTAAAAGTCAGCAAAAGTTGTCATAAAAACGATCCAGATACCAACATTCCAAAAGCTCTCCCCTCCTTCCTTAGTGGTCATATTGCTCATGTTTTATGTGTTTTAATTCAAACATTTCTTACCAATCAATAATGTTCACAAATTATTTTTTACATAAAACACGTGCCGCAGAATACTAATTTATTGATTTTAGGTTTCGTCTTGGGACATTGATTTTCATCGGTGATATTTGATTTACGTTCGATAAATGTTAAGGAGACTCATTGGTTATAATAAATTCCTATCATACCATTCTATCAAGTAATTTTGAAAAATGAATATATTTATAAGAGTGAACACTTAGAAGTTTTGTTAAGTTTTGTTAAGTATATATATATATATATATATATATATATATATATATATATATATATATATATATATATATATATATATATATATATATATATATATATATATATAGAGAGAGAGAGAAGAGAGAGAGAAGAGTGTACAAGTATGTGTGTGTGTAAAACTCCAAAGTTAGATGGTGACGCCAAAGTCTAATGGTCTCGCCAGACCCCGATAGTCTGTTTTCTTTGAGACGCGCCGTGCTAAAATGCGATGATCTGACACGGCCAAAACCGATGGTGCAGAGAAACAATCAATTTTTATGACGTCAAACTAATCCGACATCAGTGCATGACGCCGTTGTTCAGCATTAAAAAGCCATCATTTCTGAATGCTAATCTTAATGATTTTGATAATTGCTTGCACCTCACAAAGATAGTAGGATTCCTCCTCGCACATCAAACGACTGATTAGGGTTAATTTTGAATTCCACCAATTGATTAAGAGCTTGTCCGCGAACACTAGTCGAGTGATTAGATTAGTCTCGCACCCATCTAAATTATCTAGGTTATAATTCTTCCCACCTATCCGAGAGATAAGTGCTTAGTTTCCGCATAAGAGTATTTATTCATACTAATTTAAGACCTTGGCATGGACGGCATGCCAGTTTGGTGCAGTGGTACTATGATGTAAAAAACCTTGAATGTTTTCCGCACCATCGGAGTTTGGCGTGTCAATCCATCGGAGTTTGGCGCAGGCCATCGGAATTTGTCGAGACCATGTGACTCTGGAGTCCCCATCGCACTTTGGAGTCCGACATATGAAGAAAGAGAGAGAAAGAGAGAGAGAGAGAGAGTTTTACCCAGTATAACCCAAAGTTCTGCAAATAACTTTTGCCTCAGCGTCACTCCAGTCATCCTTACAAAATCCTCTCCATTTACCATTTATAAATACCTCAGGTAGCACTTCACGGATGTTTTGTGATGAGTTTTTCTCATTAAGTCGGAAAATATCTAAGAAAATGAGTTTTCTTGAATCAATAAGGTTTATTTTTTTCTTTTTTCCCCTCTGATTTTCCCACGCCCCGTCCAACCTACCTGCTTGTGACTGGAAACAAACTACACCTGCCTTTCCAGAAGTACAGTTCTTTGAATCGGTTACGGAAGGTGAACACTCTAAAATGGAATCTTCGTAACCTTCACAATCTACATGGGTCAACATCCGCAACGTTTCATCACTATTTCGGAAATATGTTGAAGTAGAAAAACCTCTGCAAATACATTAAATAATCTGAGTTGAAATGAATAAAGTTTACCTACCAAATTTAAGTTCGAAGTTGAAATGGGTAATTTTCAGATATTACCTTGAATAACCAAACTTTCTACAAACGACAACAGAATCTTTTCTATTCCATCCAATGTCACATATATTCCACCATTGGTTGTTTATAGAATTTCAACAAGACCTTCATTTTCAAAGGAACCTGTCCTTTTTCTCACAGCACCTATATATATATATATATATATATATTTATTAAAGAAGTAAATAACAAGTGTATAAACTTCAATGGGAATTGAAGTTGGTCGGTCACGTGATCAAATCCTGTGAAGGGCGAATGCCTTCTCAGAAGATTTGATCACGTACACCCACCACTTCAATTCCCATTGAAGTTTATAAACTTGTTATTTATTACTTATATATACATTTGAGACAGACAATTGAAGATTTTCGAATTTAAATTATTGCACTAACCGTCCGTCGTAGATTTTGAAAATGACGCAAGGTGTAAATCGGCTTGCATGGCGGTTACGCTTCGAATTCATTAGGCTAAGGAATCTATTTCGAAGGGAATATTTTGTGAAAGGCTACTTGTGATCAGTAATAGTGAACAGATTGTTGTCTGGGAATATTTTTATTCGTGAAAAATGATAATCAATGCTGAAAAGACACAAGAAACACGTCCGAAGTTTGATGATAAAAAGTTGGAGGAATTTCGGTCGCCAGAAAGGGATGGATGGATCCGATGGATTGAAACACTTGTCCGAGCCAGTTTATTAGCAATTTGATCAAACACATTCAACGGTTTCAGTAACTAAAGGCATACTTATCGTAAAACACTGATAAACAACGAGACACTGGCGACAGCTTTAGGTCCTACATTGAGCTACGAAAACGCCGAGGTGTTTGGCAGCTGTTCATGGAATGATTGCAATGATATTTTTCAACAGATTTCACATTTATCGTGAGTAAAATTTAAAGATAAAATGAAAGTTTATCATGAAAATTTAACCAAAGGTCTACCCCAAAATATAAGGATGAACGTTCAGCTGACAAAAGTGAAGAAAAATGTAAACAAAAGCTAGGCTCCTCGTTTTCTCTGTGTACACAGGTTGAACGATAGCCCCCAAACTGTATGAAATACTTTACATTTTAAATAAAATAATTACTATCATTTTACTTGCTTATTTTGTTCATTTGTATACATGATAAGCAAGCAGAGCAGGTCATTTCATAATTTATGTACTGTACCGTTAGATATTATTGCGCCAGCGTGAATTAGGTCACGTATTGACCTCTGACCTCTGACAAACTTCATACAAAATTGAAGATATTTTCTCTCTGTATGTTTATATAATGGAGAGATACCACAAATGTATACTGTAAACCAACTTTTATTCGCGACGACTTTATTTCGCGTTTTACCGAGAGTAAACTAGTACGCGACGATTTATTTTCGCGATCAAACTTTTATGGAACTGTTTTTAATAGAAAAAGAGACTTTGAGGGCCCGTTCGCGGCGAGAAATATTCGCGATGAAGAGGCTCTCGCGAACCTCGCGAAAATTTCTCGCACGCGAAAAAAAGTTGGTTTACAGTATATATATATATATATATATATATATATATATATATATATATATATATATATATATATATATATATATATACATATATATATATATATATATATATATATATATATATATATATACACACACCAAAAGTTTGTTAAAAAATCCACACAAGTATTTAAATAGTAAAAAAATAACGAAACGCCGATTAAAACTCTACCGGTTTCAATTGTTTCATCAGGAATTTTGACATATCAGGTTAATTGTTTATGTCGTGATAATGAGTTTTCATGTACATTTTTTCAAAATTCTAGAAATTAAGTAAAAACACTTGTATTTAATTCGCATAAATTCATTAAGACAGAGAAAAATATTAATAGGCCTAATTTTGCTGCCAAGAAGGTTTCACAAAAATCAGACGAATCAACTGTATTTACAACAAAAAATGATAGTGTAACAAGTAAAAGTAATTTTGGTTTGATGAAAAAGGGATTAAAATTTGGAAACCTTAACATTTGCCACCTAATGCCAAAAATTGAAGAAATTAAAATTCTGCTTCAAAACAAACAAGATCTTAATATCTTAGGGCTTTGTGAAACCTTTTTGAATGATAACATTAGTGATTCTGAGTTGAATATTGATGGCTTTGAAATGGAAAGGAAGGATCGCATTCTGAGGGCAGGTGGTGGAATTGTAGTATATATCTCCGATAATATACGATACAAACGTAGAACTGATTTTGAAATTGGTGATATTGAAACAATCTGGCTAGAATTAAATTCAAAGAATTCTAAACCAGTTTATTATTGTTCAGCGTATCGTCCACCATCTGCTCCCTCCTGCTGGGCGGAGGACCTGGCTAGAGAAATTAACTGTGCCTCCTGCTGTGACGATGCAGAAATTATCTTAACAGGTGACTTTAATGTAGACTTATTCAAAGAACCCCCACAAAGTTGGACATATGCTTTAGAAGAATTTTATTTTTCACAATTAATTACAGCAGCAACCAGAGTAACTAATACTTCAAGTACACTAATAGATCACTTTTACACCAATAAACCAGATAACATGTGTGAAGTAAATGTACCTTTTATAGCCATCTCTGACCACTACCCAATATGTGCCACTAGAAAAACAAAATGCATGCAACAAAAAGGAAAACACGTAGAAATAGAGTACAGAGACTTCAAAAAGTTCGATGAAAATAAATTCCTTCACGACTTAAAAGATGTAGACTTTAACAATCTCCTCCAGATGCATGACCCTAATGAAATACTAACTGAATTCTATGATTTATTTAATAGTATACTTGACCAGCATGCAAAGGTTAAAACAAAACGCGTAAAGAGCGAAATCCGCCCTAAATGGATGACACAAGAAATAAACAATGCTAGAAATTTAAGGGACTCTTACCATAAAGAAGGAGATATGGAGAACTATAGAATTTATCGAAACAAAGTTAGTCTTCTTATAGACAAATCAAAATCGTCTTACTATAAAACAACTATTGAACAAAGTTCAAATCCCAAAGAAATGTGGAACTATCTTAATCAATTAACATGTAATTCAAAGAACATAACACCATCTCATGTGTTTTCTAATGGGGAAATTGTTGATAATTTACAGGATATTGCAAATACTTTTAATAACCACTTTACGGATATCTCTAATAAGCTTCTGATGAAATTGCCTAAACATGATTATGATCCTAATATATTATGTAATTTTGTAAGGTCTAAGCTTGATGAAGAAACCATCTTTAGTATTCATCAAATTGAGGAAAGTGAAGTTTTTAACATGCTAAATTCTCTAAATATCAATAAATCAGCTGGCATTGACTTTATTGGGCCGCGTCTTCTAAAAGTCGCATCCAAATATATATGTAAACCTATAACTCATCTTATTAATGCTAGCATAGTAAGTGGTATTTTCCCGACAAATTTAAAACAAGCCAAAGTAACACCTATATTTAAGAAAGGTGACAAAGCTGACCCAAATAATTATCGTCCCATTTCTATTTTACCAACTATATCTAAACTGATAGAAAAACATGTAGCTAAGCTAATACAAAACTTCACAAATGAATTTGATCTACTAACACAATCCCAGTCGGGATTTAGGGAACTCCATTCTTGTCAAACTTCACTTACAAAACTAACAGAAAGTTGGCTTAATGCAATGGATCGTGGTGAACTAATCGGCATTACATTTATAGATTTTAGTAAAGCTTTTGATTTGGTGAATCACGATATTCTTCTAGAGAAATTAAATCATTACAAATTTGACCAAACAGCTATAAAATGGTTTAAGTCATATCTTTACGACAGGACCCAGTGTGTTAAATTTGGAACATGTGTCTCCAATATTCAACCTGTCACAGCAGGAGTGCCACAAGAGTCAATTCTGGGCCTTCTTTTATTTTTATTGTACATAAATGACCTTCCATTACATGTAAACAATTCAAATATTGATATGTTTGCTGATGATGTTACTCTGTATTCAAATAATCATAATGCACGATGTTTAGAAAATACGCTAAATGCAGATATTTGTGAGATTGAAAAATGGTGTGCTCAAAATCAAATGGTTTTAAATGTAGATAAAACAAAATGTATGTTAATGGGAACACAGCAAAGAAAATCAAAATTAGATAATCCAAATTTACAACTTTATGCCTCAGACAAAACAATTGAAATTGTTGAAACTGGAAAAATTCTTGGTGTACATATTGATGATAAGTTACAGTATGCAAATCATATTGACTCAGTTTGTAAAACGGTTAATTATAAGTTATTTACGCTTCGTAGGATTAAGAAATTTCTCCCTCTTCATACCAGGAAACTTTATTACAACGCTTATATTTTACCATCTATTAACTATTGTTTGACTGTTTGGGGTAATGCCCCCAAGCAGGACATGGACAGACTATTTAAATTACAGAAAAGGGCAGCAAGGATTATCCTTGATGCAAGTCCTGATTCTTCTTCTAAACCACTGTTTGAGAAACTTGGGTGGTTAACAGTTTATGAACTAGTTGATCTATACAAATACATATTATTATACAAAATTTTCAGTGGAATGATTCCCGAATATCTTCGTAATTTATTTGAATTTCAGTCTTCAACTTCTTATAACCTGCGATCCGAAACTAATTATGATCTTAGATTACCAAAATTTCGTACAAACTTATTCAAGACCTCTTTTCAGTATTCAGGTGTACATCTGTGGAATAAACTTCCCCAACACATTAGATTCTCTCTTTCTCTACGAACATTCAAGCGTAATGTAGAAAATTACATTATCAGCTGTCGTACAATCATTTGAGCATAATAAGAGTTCAATATCGTATATTGTACTGTTGTTGTTAAGATGTGTCTGTATTTAAACACTCTATTCATAATTCAGTGATTGTAATTCTCAAACCTATATAACATGTACTTAATTGTATGTGATTACACTACTGGACGAAAAAAGTGCTGAGAATCCCAAATTTTACTGATAATGTCTGATAATTACTGATACGGTGCTGTTCTTGCTGATAATTACTGATATTTACTGTTATTATTACTGTTGTTGCTGATAATTTTAGTTGTTGCTGATAAATACTGATAATTACTGTCGTCTTTTACTGTGGAGTCTGATAAATACTGATAAATACTGTTGAGGTACTGTCGCTGCTGAGAATTGCTGATAATTACTGTTGAGGTACTGTCGATGCTGAGATTTACTGATAATTACTGTGGTCATTGTTTTTAACCTGGGAATGGATTAAAATAGCCTGAGAAATGATTATTTGTTTTTTTTTTTAAGTATTTTAACAAATTCATTACAGTCTATTAAAAAATAAATTATTCTAAATAAAAAAGTCACATTTTTCACTGTTTTCAGTTTTCATATATTAATTTCATTATAATAATTTTTGACCATAATGTTAACATAAGCTTTCATAAATGTTTATGTTTTTTCTTTAAATTTCTCCTTACACGTAGATGACATTATCTGAGGAAAATTATTCTGTTGTATTTGCAGTGGTTTTTCTTCCCAAGTACTTTTTTAAAAGTTTAATTTTTGTTCAAAAAAAAATCTCATCTCATATTTTTTCTCACATGTATTTGTACTGTCATCAAAAGCTTTTTGTGGGTTTCTTAATACTTCAATACAGTCAATGGTTTTAAATATCAATTTATTTTACCGTGTGGAGAACTGAAAATGCATGAGCACATTAAGTTGAAAACAACCCCCCCCCCCCCTTTTTCCAATTACTTTTAAATTAAGCTCTCATTTTAAGAAGACAATATTAAACATTTTTCATAAAATCTAGTCTTGAAGCGTACACTTTGTTATTTTATAGAAGAATGTGACAGGGTTAAATAATTAAATTGAAGCATCTTTAATTATTTTTTATATATATTATGTAGACAGCGCGCTCTAGTTCTCCGATGTCCTCCCTGCGAATTTTATATCGCTTTCTAGCTTTTTCTCTCTCTCAATCGCTTTTAAATGATTTGTTAAGGCTTAAGGATTGTACACTATATGACATAAATCTTATGCAGAGTGATTTTCAGTCAATGAAATATACGTCTTTCTTTAGGCTAATTCTTTTTTCATTGTATACAGTTTTAAGTCTATGGGCATATGGCTTCTAATATTATGCGCCACTCCTTAAACATGTTATATGCGGTCAGTCAGTTAAAAAACTAAATAAAATAAATCATAACTTGAATAAACTTTTTCTATTAATGCAAACTTTGTGCTTGTTGTTATTGAACATACATGTCAACCACGTGTAAAAGTTCTACTTTCGTTTTAGAATCGGGTCAATTATTAGTACATTCTGCCATAGGGATATCGTTACGGTTTGCGTTTTTGTAAAATTAGAATTTTGTGCAGTGATTATAATTTTTTTTAATTCCATTTTTCTCCGAGACCTTGGTATAAACGAACAGTACAGACTTGGTGCTTATTTATATGATTTTACTTGATTGTAGCACAAAAAGGAGGGGGTGAAATACTGTTTACAATTAAGTGATAGCGGATAGGGCAAGGTCTGTTCTTTAGTTGTGTGTTTTAAAAGTCATGCAAGTTATGATATTATACTTATCGATTTTTTTATATGCATGAATAAATTATTTTAGAGAATCAATTGCAATGAACCATACAAATTTCAGAACTGAAGTAATTATAACATTTATTCATGAGTGCGATACACAACGTCATGTTTCTGACATTCAAAATCCATACATTTAAGGTTTTTTTTTTCTCGGATTAAGCGAAGTGGAGTTTCCCTGCATCTGAATTGGGAACAATTCATGCTAATATTAATTCAAAAAAGTGCTTCACCAAACAATCTTTCTCTTTATATCTATATGATTGCATATTTTGCACACTTTTTTTATTTTATTAAAAAGTGAAGTCAATTTCTCGTCTACGTATTTACCGGTCCCAAACAATCGTCAGCAGAGATTCAGAATTGAAAATACATGTGACCACCTCCCCCGGAATATTCTTTTATCTGATAAACAAAATATACTCCCCGGCCTAAATTCCTTTACTTCGCATTTATTTTTTTGTTTAGTTTCTTATTTACGCATGCCTTTTAGACCTACTGTTATGTATAAAATCACATACACTTTATATGTTTTTGTGGTCTATGTATACTTAAGTAAAATGGTAAAAAGATTCAAATAAATGGTTGATTGATTGAAGAAATATGCGTAAAACTAAAAAATGAAATTAAATACTGAAGAAGATAGATCTTTGAGAATTGAAATAATACTGAAAATAAGTCTGTACAACGTACATGATATACATGTATATATCTTCTTTTTTCATTATAGTACCAAAGTGTTCTATTCTAAATATTTTTTCTATCAATTTTATTCGTCATCAAATTCAATATTATGGAATTTTATTTTCGTGCGACCATAAACTTTAAGATTGTTCCAAAGTAGCGAGTACATGAACAGTGTAGGTCGTTTGTTTATGGAAAACACCGGTAGCCGCAGACGAAGAACAATAGGTAATTAGTGCCCATTGTTACGCTGACCACTACAATTTGCATGGAATATACAAGTTGTACCCCGTTCTACCCCGGGGCTGAAAACATGTACACAATACAGCCAAATCACAGGTCGATCACCGATTTCTGATCAATTGAAATCAATTTAAAGGTGTTTTCCTTTCAACTTTTTACCATGCAAAATTCAAATCGATTAATTTGATCATTTACTAATAGTAACATATTAAATTAAGTCTCATTTCAGTTCTTATTTCCCATTCCATAAAATCAAATAAAAAAAAAATAATGAGATTTCAAAACTGATTAAATAAAAAAATGATTTTGTATTTAAATTTTAAGACAAAATAAACACATGTACCTTTGTACTAGGGATTCTTAACCTCTAATTTTTAATCAGCTTGCCCCATTTGCCGGTTGCACATGCATACAGTGTGTACTTGTACATATGTACATGTGGAGGAGTTTAATTCTTGGACGATCTACTAACGTCTACATAACATTAAAATAAATGAATAAATAAATAAATTATTAATTAAAATCAGTGCCCACAGATTGAACATATTCAAACCTGTTTTCACCTCTTAATTACTTTTTAAAAGGGATAAAATTTCTACTGGTAATTTCCGAGCAAATTTTCAAATATTTCGACAAAAAGAGACCAGAAAACTGAACATTTAAGAAGATAAATATAATTGTTTTCGAGAAAAAAAGGCCTTCAAAAACAAAATGTTGTCCAAACTCGACCAGTTGACCTAGTGAAAACGGAACAAATCCGACTTTTCTAACCTGCAGGAAACTTTTTTTTATCCCGATTTTTTCCCATCCATTAAGAACTTTTTTCTTATTATTGATAAAAAAAGATCACCGATCTCCCTACATAATTTTCTTGGAGTCGGGAAAGGCGGCGATGGATCTTTTTAAGATAGCATAATTTTCTTTTTATTTACAGTTTACCGGGTATTTTTCAATAAGATCTTATGCAAAAGTAAAATTCCATTTTTTTTTTCTGTCGTTAATTTTTTTTATTAATTCAATTTCTATATATTCATTCTATTTATAATTCATTTGATTATTGTCAAAATTTTCACAAAGTTAACGTAATGTAGAAATTGAGATCAGCATACTACATACATACAGTCATGTAATTTTGCCAGAAGCAGAACATTTAAAAAAAATATATGATAATTTTGCCATGATAATTCAAGTAAAAGAAGGTAATAATTGAAGGTTTTTATGGCCTTCTGTTTTATTTAAAACCAATTACCAGGTTAAAAACAATGACCACAGTAATTATCAGTAAATCTCAGCATCGACAGTACCTCAACAGTAATTATCAGCAATTCTCAGCAACGACAGTACCTCAACAGTATTTATCAGTATTTATCAGACTCAACAGTAAAAGGCAACAGTAATTATCAGTATTTATCAGAAACAACAAAAAATATCAGCAACAACAGTAATAATAACAGTAAATATCAGTATTTATCAGCAACAACAGCACATTATCAGTAATTATCAAACTTTATCAGTAAAATTTGGGATTCTCAGCACTTTTTTCGTCCAGTAGTGTTAAGATGAATTGTATCTTGATGAAGTGTATATATTTTGTATTTGATATATGTACATATATATAGAGGGCCCTGGGGAAGAATAGTGCATGCACTAACCAGGTTACCTTCTTTAAATAAAGTTTTATTATTATTATTATTATTATTATTATATTGCTATAGATACAAACATTTCAAAGTATATTGTGACGTCATGTGACATCAAAAGTGTTGCGCTTTAGTACAGTTCATTGTGACGTCATTATGTTACGTTATTACGTTAACAATTAGACAAATAATGCGGGAAAATTGTAAAATGTCTATTATGACAGGGCATTTAGCTTTGGTTGAAATAATGAAATAAAATGTTTTTCCTATATACACGTTCTACAACAAGACTTTCGAAAAAGAACGTGAAACCAAGGAAAAACATTTTATTTCATTGTTT